ACTAGACTGAATAAATGAATTTGGCAAAGTAGCAGGATAAAAAAATTAACGTCAAGAAATTGATGGCATTCTTATACACCAATGATGATCTCACAGAAAGAGAAACTAAGAAAACAATCCCATTTACCATGGTGGCAAAAATATTAAGATACCTAGGAATAAACTTAATCAAAGAAATAAAGAACCTGTTCGCAAAAAACTACAGGTCATTGAAAAAAAAAAAAAAAAAAGAGGACGATATAAAAAAAATTGGAAGCACATACCCTGTTCATGGTTTGGAAGAATTAACATCATTAAAATGTCCATACTACCCAAAGCAATCTATAGATTCAATGCATTCCCCATCAAAATACCAACAACATACTTCACGGAACTAGAACAAATACTTCAAAAGTTCATAAGAAACCAAAAAGGACCTCGAATAGCCACAGCAATATTGAAAAAGAACAAAGTAGGAGGGATCACATGACCAGATTTCAGGTTATACTACAAAGCCACTGTAATCAAAACAGCCTGGTACTGGCACAAGCACAGGCATATAGACCAGTGGAACAGAACAGAGAACCCAGAAATGGACCCAAGGCATTATGCTCAATTAATATTTGACAAAGGGCCCTGGCCGGTTTCGCTCAGTGGTTAGAGCATCGGCCTGCAGTCCGGAGAGACCCGGGTTCGGTTCCCGCTAAGGGCACGTACTTCGGTTGCAGTTTGGCCCCCGCCCTGGTTGGTCGTGCGGTGGCAGCCACTCGATGTGTCCCTTTCACATCGATGTTTCTCTCTCTCTATCTCTTCCTCTCTCTCCCTTCCACTCTATTGGTACAAAAAATGGAAAAATGTCCTCGGGTGAGGATAAAAAAATATATATATATTTGACAAAGGTGGCAAGAACATACAGTGGAGTAAAGACAGCCCCTTTAATAAATGGTGTTGGGAAAATTGGACAGCTACATGCAGAAAAATGAAAATAAACCATCAACTTACATCGTACACAAGAATAGACTCAAAATGATAGAAGACTTAAATGTGACTCATAAATGCATAAAAATCCTAGAAGAAACGGTAGGCAACAAAATTTCAGACATCATACACAGCAGAATTTTCATTGATGCATCCCCTAAGGCCACAGAAACAAAGGAGAAAATGAACACATGGGACTACATCAAACTCAAATGCTTCTGCACAGCAAAAGATACAATCATCAAAATGGAAAGGCTACCCACTGTATGGGACAGCATCATTGCCAATGTTATATCAGATTAGGGGTTAATTTCCAATATATAGAGTGCTCGTACAACTCAACAAAAGGAAGACAAAGAACCCAATTTAAAAAATGGGCAGAGGAACTAAATAGACACCTCTCTAAAAAGGACATACAAATGGCTAAGAGACATATGAAGAAATGCTCAACATCACTAATCATCAGAGAGATACAAATTAAAACAACGAGGTATTACCTCACACTTGTCAGAATGGTCGCCATCAACAAATCATGAAACAATTTTTGGCGAGGGTGTGGATAAAAGGGGACTCTAGTGCACTGCTGGTGGGTATACAGACTGGTGCAGCCACTGTGGAAAACAATATGGTGTTACCTCAAATAATTAAAAATTGAACTGCCAGTTGACCCAGTGATCCCACCTCTAGGAATATACCCTAAGAAGCCTGAAACACCAATCAGAAAGAATATATGTACCCCCATATTTGTAGCAGCACTATTTACAATAGCTAAGATCTGGAAACAGCCAAATGTCCATCAGTAGAGGAATGGATAAATAAGCTTTTGTACATATACACTATGGAGTACTATGCAGCTGTAAGAAAGAAAGATCTCTTATCCTTTGAAAGGACATGGAGGGACCCGGAAAGTGTCATCCTAAGGGAAACAAGCCAAACAGAGAAAGACGAGTATCATATGATCTCACTTATTTGTGGAATATAATGAACATAACAGTCTGAGGAATGGGGTAGTCCCAGAGACGTGGAAGTGAGGTACAGACTGGCGATCCCCAGAAGAGGGGGTGGATTGGGGAGAGATAAACCACAGAACTTATATGCATGTATGCATGAACAATGGACATAGACAATAAAGCTGGGGACAGGGGGGGGAGGGGGGAGGGGGAAGCAGTGGGGGTAAAAGGAGAAACATCTATAACAAAGGTAAATTAATTAATTAAATAAAAAAACCTCTGAATTCACTAAAAGTTCTTAAATTGCCCACTTAAAATGGGTGAACTTGGTGGTATGTAAATAAAGATGCTAATTTTTTAAAAATTATAATATAAATAAACAATGAAACCATAAAAAAATACTATTACTTAACTGCAAGTCAATCATCTCACTAACCTCACTTCAAATGCTAAGTATATTTAAACTCTGCTTAAATTAAAAAAAAACAAAAACAAAAAACAAAAAAAACTGGGCTTTTAGACAATCTCTCATTAACTGTGCTTTGGGTATTTAAAATCCTGTGGTTTATTCTGTTTCTGAGCATCTTGTAGCAATATTTCCAGTTTGGTATATATCCCTGTACTAGATAGAAGTTGCATTTTAAATTGCCTCCTTGTTACTGTCTCTGAAATCTGAGTATCATTTCTATCTGTCCTTCCTTGGTCCCTTTGTGCAAGGAGAGACTGGTTGCACTCTTTAAAAGGTTTTTGGATCATATTTTTGTTCATATTCAATGTATTCTATTGCATTTGGTGAATCTGTCTGAAGTTAGCTGAAATTTCCTCTACAAAATGGTATAATGCATAGACTAATTTTTATCCATGTTCCATATAAAAAGAAGATGTACTATTTTTTTTTTTTGTCTTATACACAATGCATAGTCTGTTAATTAGGTTATCCAAACTTTCTCTCCCCTGAATTATTTTTTTCTAGTTAATATGTTGGTTTATTTTTTAATTTTTCAATTACAGTTTACATTTAATATTATTCTGTACTAGTTTCAGATGTACAGTAGTAAGAAAATCATGTACTTTACAGAGTGGTCCCCCACTGTTTCAAGTACCCATTTGGCCCCATACATAGTTATCACAATATTATTGACTATATTTGCTATGCTGTAATCTACACCTCTGTGACTATTCTGTAACTAATAATCTGTACTGCTTAATCCCTTCAACTTTTTCACCCACCCCCTTAACCCCCCTTTCCTCTGACAACTGTCAGTCGGTTCTCTGTGTCTATGAATCTGTTTCTATTCTGTTCACTTTTTTCATTAGATTCTACCCATAAGTGAAATCACATAGTATTTGTCTTTCTTTCTCTGACTTATTTCATTTAGAATAATACCCTCTAGGTCCATCCATGCTGTCACAATAAGTAAGATTTCATTCTTTATTGGTATCTTTACCTCTTATCTATTTTATCCATCTAATTTTAAAGATACCTTTATTTGCTGTTCTTCAAATTCAAAAATAATGTTATAACCAGTGGAACAATGCAATATGAGGATGTATAAAGACAAAACTAATCACCCACACCTCCACCTCGTTATGTAATCAATCTTAACAGCCTGCTGTGGAGCTTTCCACAACTCTCCTTGCTTATACAAACAGATCAAAAATATGTGTACATATATAAAATTCTGCTTGTTTTCACCAAAGAATAATTATGCTATACACATTATTCTGCAACTGGTTGAACTTAACTATATATGTTCATGTGTACGTACATACATATATTTATATACACATATGATGTGAAAATAGATTATATATATTATTTTACAAAATATAGTGAAGATACTCTGCAGACTTAAGTTCCTTTCAATTTAAAATTGTTTTTTGTATTCCTTTAAATAACCTAACTCCATCATAATTATTTGTAATGAATTGCTTAATGTCTTTCTTCCCAGCAACATTGAGAGCTCCATAAAGGCTAACTTTGTTCACCACTATAACTCCAGAATTTAGGGTAGTGTTGCCAGGACAGTAAATGCTTAAAGTCTATTTGTCAATTGTTTCAGTGCTTCTTGAAACCTTCCGTCTAAACTGAGTAATTGACAATACTCAAATATCCGTGTCTTTAGGAACTCAGGCCTGAGTAAGTCACCACTCAATGTTATTTGGATGAACCAACTGACAGTACCTTTTATATTTTTATTAAGAATTTGTGCTTTTTAGTAAACACTCCTGTCTGCCACAAAAATGAATGTTAAAAGGCAGATAACATGTTTAGAGGAAAAGAGAGCTCTGCGCTTGTAATTAGGAGACTTCACTTTTAGTCCCACCACCGCCGTTAATTTTTCTGTGGCCTTTAGAAAGTACCTTATCCTGGCCCTGGCTCTTCTTCTGTAGTTCTAGCATCCATTAATTCCACAAATGTGTTTTGTCTATGTGCTAGCACTAGGCTAACTGCTAGTAATACAGGGGTGAAAATAATAGCCAACATTTACTGAATGCTTACTTTATGCTTGGTGTTTTGCTGACGGAGTCATATGCATTATTTTATTTAATCTCCCATGAGATGGGACTGGAGTGATATTTTCCATACTTTTCAAAGAAAGGGACGGAGGCATAGCAAGGTGAAGTAACTCCCAGCATACCAAAAGACACAGTTAAGACAGGATTGGATTACAGACAGTGGGGCTTCAGGTGCCATTCCAATAACCATAGCGAATCCTTACCCTCATAATTCGGTAACTATTTCTGTGGTTTGCATTTTCATCTCAACTCAGGAGTACTGGGTTGAGCACACTCTTGTTAATTGGAGACTGCTATGACGACGGAATACGTTAGGGAAAACCATTCAAAGATCTGACACTAAAACTGCAATGAACAATGTTCTCGCTAGCCTCCCGCAGCTTCCGCGCCTGGAACGTGAAAAGGTAGGAGGCGTCGGCAGTCCGACGCACGCAGGCCTCTCTGGGGGGTCCAATTGGGTACGGACCAGCGTGCGGGGTCACGCCAGCAGGACGTGTTCCTTTGACCTCGGCAGGGGGCGGGTAGAAAGGGCGTGTTGGCCGCGTGAGGGCCTCCTGACGTCGCGCAGGCCTGCGACTCAGCCTGGCCTGGGGCTCGTTTGCCCCGCCCCGCTGCCCGCGCCGTCTCGGCGTCCACTTCCTGGCCCTCCCTGCCTTTAGCGAAACCAACGAGAGAACACCGCCTACATCTAGAGCAGCCCGACCGGGAGTGTAACCGAGGGGCGCGCGAACGTGAGAGGAAAGCCTGCGCAGCTGTGGTTTCTCACCCCCTGAGTCTTGCTAGACGCAGGTGAGTGCCTGGGCATCAGGAGCGGCCCCCAGAGGATCCCGACTCCGCCTCACTTGGAGTGTTGACCTGGGCCCTGGCCCACTCCCAACCTGCTCTACGCGGGGTACCTAGGCAGGTGCAATGGGAGGAGTAGTTGGGGGCCGGCGGGGTGAGGCGGGGTGAGGCGGGGAGAGGCTGAGAGCCGCCTTCCTGGAATCCCTTCTTGGCCCTTTAATGGGATCTTGAGGTGACCATGACCTCCCTCTCACTTCTGGTCTCTGTTTCATCCTCCTCCCTTTTCCATACCCCATCCCAGCTATCTTCACCTAAAAAGATGCATCTGAAAAACCACTATGATAGTTTTGCATCATTTGTGTTACTGTGTAGTTTTAAGTTTCCCTCTCCTCTGCACCAAATGTCCTATCGTGTGTATCTCCAGTATTACTTTTTTTTTTTTACCTCCCCTAACGGAACAAAGATCTCGTCCTTAGAATAATTGGTGCAAGTAATACATGAATAGTATTCCCATCAAGAAGAATTCTGGCACACATATTCCATTATCAAGCTGGGAGACTGGAGACACGTGTGAATTATCATATATTGGCCAGAAATAATGAAAATGGCCCAAGATGAAATGCCAGAATCTTAGCTAAATTAATTTTAAATTGCATCTGACAATTCTAATACTAAACAGAACTTTGTTCCTGTCAATTTTCTTTTCCTTCTCAGAGCTGTGTTTATTGACCAAGTTCTGTGATACCCTCCACCCCCACTAAGGAATTATATCTGCCAGAGTATCCCACACCTGTCCTTCTAGTAGAAGTCAAAGTCCATTTTCTCTAGAAGAAAATCAAGGGATGGTTTCCTTGTAGCAATATGATAATGTGTGCAAAATGTCAATTGTGGTTAACAAATACCACATTTTTTTTAATTTGTAGGAAAACAATATTATTCTATAATTTGTTTATTAAATTACCAATAATATGGGTAGAAACACTATAGAGATCATTATTCTGTAATAGAAATAAAAACATTAAACTGATGTCGTGATCTTATTTCTAGTTCAGTTCTCCCACTGATTGTGTTACTTTGGGTCAGTTACTTAAATTCTCTGGATCCTCTGTTTCCCTGTCTGTAAAATGAGAGAAATTATATTAGGTAGCTTCTAAGACCCCTTTCAACTTTGAGTGAAAGGGAAAATTTCAGTAACTAAGTAAACCATTCTTTGTGGAGACAGAGGGGAGATTGGGAAAATCTCAGTAGTTGTATTTAATGTTGCCTTTTCTTTTAATTTCTAATAGAAATAAAAGTGTACACTTTTCCCTTTTTACTCTCCCCCCCCCCCAAATAAGAAAATGCCTTAGGAGGAAATAAAAATGGATATTAATAGTTCTCAGATATCCCTATATTGAGTCAGTTCTTATGCAAATAATTTAACTGTTTTCATTATGGACTTTTATTACATCAGCTAGTTGAGATACTTATTGGAAAAAAGTTAGTCTTAGGAACAAAAAGGTAAATATATGTGGTGTCACTTTCATTAGATATACTCAAAACACTTAAGGACAGCAGCCATCAGTTAAATAAAGCACTAGGTTGAGAACAAAAATGCCAGCACGTATACCATTGGTGATTTGCCCATTGTTGGTTGTTTTATCTGTTCAATTTAAGGTTTTGATATAAAAGTCTTTTTATATCTGTAGCGGTATTTAATATAATGCAAGCTTGTGAGACAAGATTCCTTTAAAGGGAATTGTAGACAGGTAACTTATATAACATTGGTTTCTCAGGTTAATGCTTTGATTTAATACTTGGTTAGTTAAATCCCCATAGATGAGGTACAAAAATAGCCTCCTAGAAAAATTCTGCATATAGGTGTTGCTGCAAAGTTCCAGTTTATACTAAACAGTATAAATTGGAAGCTCATGATTCATAAACTCCTTGGTACTATAAGCAACTAATTTGATTTCAAACTTGGGAACCTTTTTTTAATGTTAAAAACAAAGCATACATGTAAAAGGAATACCAAATCAAATCAGTAGACTAGTACTTTTCTATTAAGTATCCTAAGATTTTTTTTTTTCTTCTTTATAGGAAAGATGCTTTCTGAAAGCAGTTCATTTTTGAAGGGTGTAATGCTGGGAAGCATTTTCTGTGCCTTGATCACTATGTTAGGACACATTAGGATTGGTTATGGAAATAGAATGTACCACCATGAGCATCATCACCTACAAGCTCCTAATAAAGAAGATATCTTGAAAATTTCAGAGAATGAACGCATGGAGCTCAGTAAGAGCTTTCGGGTATACTGTATCATCCTTGTGAAACCCAAAGATGTGAGTCTTTGGGCTGCAGTAAAGGAGACTTGGACCAAACACTGTGACAAAGCAGAGTTCTTCAGTTCTGAAAATGTTAAAGTGTTTGAGTCAATTAACATGGACACAAATGACCCGTGGCTAATGATGAGAAAAGCTTACAAATATGCCTTTGATAAATATAGAGACCATTACAACTGGTTCTTCCTTGCACGCCCCTCAACATTTGCTATTATTGAAAACTTAAAGTATTTTTTGTTAAAAAAGGACCCATCACAACCTTTTTATCTAGGCCACACTATAAAATCTGGAGACCTTGATTATGTGAATATGGAAGGAGGAATTGTCTTAAGTATCGAATCAATGAAAAGACTTAACAGCCTTCTCAATGTCCCTGAAAAGTGTCCTGAACAGGGAGGGATGATTTGGAAGATATCTGAAGATAAGCAGCTAGCAGTCTGCCTGAAATATGCTGGAGTGTTTGCAGAAAATGCAGAAGATTCTGAAGGAAAAAATGTATTTAATACCAAATCTGTTGGACTTTTTATTAAAGAGGCAATGACTAATCAACCCAACCTGGTAGTAGAAGGATGTTGTTCAGATATGGCTGTTACTTTTAATGGACTGACTCCTAATCAGATGCATGTGATGATGTATGGGGTATACCGTCTTAGGGCATTTGGGCATATTTTCAATGATGCATTGGTTTTCTTACCTCCAAATGGTTCTGATAATGACTGAGAAGTGAAACAAGAGCATGTATGTAATCACCATATAGGACATGTGTTATTATTTGTAGTAACAACTACATATCCAACACAGCAGTATGTTTCTTTTTTTTTTTTATCATTTTCAGTGGGGTGGCACTGGTTTAATCATACATTAAAATTTAGTAATACATTGTAAAATAAGGTGGAGTTTTTTTCTTAAAACATACATGAAAATTTCAAACATGTTAGAAATAAATGTTTTAAGCATAATTTTGAAATAAAGCATATATTTATAAATATATTCATGTGATAAATTCCAAAGTATTAACATTAAAATCTGTGGCACATATTTTTGCTGATTGGTTAAAAAATTAAATGTATTTTTAGCTTTCTAAGATAAGCAAATGAATCTCTAGTAGTGAATTTGTAATTAAAGTAAAACTTTTAGCTGTGTTTCTGTTACTTCTAATGTTGGTTCATGTTCTAAGCCTCTGCAAATGCCAATGAATTTGCTTTCTCAAAATACACAACTAAACCCTGGCCAGTTTGGCTCAGCAGTTAGAGTGTTGGCCAGAGGTCCGAAGGTTCTCCGGTTCAATTCCTGGTCAGAGGCACGTGCCCGGGTTGCAGGTTCTATCCCGGCCCCGGTTGGGCAACCAATCAATGTATCTCTCACATCAATGTTTCTGTCTTTCTCCCTCCTTGTAACAATTACACAGTTTAATAATTTTCCTGGGAGCTAATCTAGTGGCATTTCTCAGCATACACAATTTCAATGTAACTCTGTACTTCTCTATGCAGATACTGAAATTGGAGTGGTGACTATGAAGAATGTAATGTAATTTAACTGTGTTGTTTCCCAGTTAATCTAGCTCTTAACTGTGGCTCAGATAAAACTATGTCACTTGAGATTTATTTACTCTTTCTGGGCAAATGAGTTCTGTGGAAGTGTCCTTTGAAAAACTTATTTTGGCAATCTGGCAGTTTAACTTACCTGAGTTGAATCTTTCCTATTTTTTGTTTACCTATTCAAATTCAGAAATTCCCCCATGTTCATGGTTGCACCATATTCCAACTGTTTTTAGTGTGGAAGCCTTAACCTCACCACTCACCTTGGATTACCATACTATTTGCCTAATTTTAGTGGCTACCCAGAAGCTTTATCCAGTGGTAAATACAATGGATCCTGTGCTTATAAATGTGTAAAATACTTGGAGCTGACTTGTCCTATAATTGGCCAAGCATATTGCTGTATTAAGTCAGATCCATAAGGCCTCATAGGTTGTGAGAACATGACATTTTAGAGATCAGTATTTTCTGTAACTGGGCTCATGATGTTAATGGTCTCCCACAGCTTTTGCAAACCCGAATTTCCTCAAGAGGACCTCGTACTTTAAGTTATTGATTATCAAAAGCCCCTAATTGGGACTTTTGGTTAAAATGAAGGGCTATTTTGAAAAATAATAAAACACCTTTATCAACCACCCTAATATGTGGTCTCAGATGCAATTACCACGGATCAAATCATGTTCACTGTGAGTCCAATGATAAACAGTATCTCACTGATTGTAACACCCTGTTTATAAGTGTAACCTTGCCCCCAGCACCAATATATTACATTTCTACTATATATCACCTTCGGTTACTTTAGTATTTCAAGGTATAGTTTTGTTGTTGTTGTTGTTGTTGTTGTTGTTGTTGTTACAGATGTTTCTCCTTTTTTCCCCCATTGACACCCTCCTCCCAACCCCACATCATCCCCAGCATTATTGTCTATGTCCTTGTTTACACACACATGCCTGAAAGTCCTGTGGTTTATCTCTTCCCTCCCCCCACATCCACCTCTTCTGAGGTTTGTCAGTCTGCACCCATGTCTCTGGATCTATTTTCTTCATCAGCTTGTTTTGTTCACTATATACCACAAATAAGTGAGATTGTGTGATATCTGTCTTTTTCTGATTGCCTTGTTTCACTTAGGATAATACTCTCTAGGTCCCTCCCTGTTGTCTCAAAGGATAAGAGATCTTTCTTACAGCTGCATAGTATTCCATTGTGTACAGTCATCCCTCGTTTATCACGGCTAATCCATTCCAGACTCTAGCAGTTTCACCTGGCCTTGAAGGAGTCCTGGGGTGCTCAAATACATAGGCCTACAGTCCATACGTACAGTAATTTTAATTGTAATACAGAGGTATATAATTAACTCAGACAACCAAGTGCACACTATCATTTTCACTGTCTCGATCAACTTTTTAATGAATATATTTGAAAAAACCGTGATACAGTGAAGCCACAAAAGTTGAAGCACAAAGTGGCAAGGGACGACTGTATATGTACCACAGCTTTTTTATCCACTCATCTATTGATGAACACATGGGCTGTTTCCAGATCTTAGGAATTGTAAATAGTGCTGCTATGAACATAGGGGTACATATATTCTTTCTGATTAGTGTTTCAGGCTTCTTAGGGTATATTCCTAGAAGTGGGATCACTGGATCAAATGGCAGTTCAATTTTTAATTTTTTGAGGAACCACCATATTGTTTTTCACAGTGGCTGCACCAGTCTGCATTCCCACCAGCAGTGTACTTTCTCCACACCCTAGCCAGCACTTGTTTAATGGTTTGTTGATGGTAGCCATTCTGGCAGGTGTGAGGTGATACCTCATAGTTGTTTCAAGGTATAGTTTTAATAAATATATTAGTGAATGCATTCCATTGTCTTATTTCCCAATGGGTGCTAAGGTAACAATTGCTTTTAAACCAAATTGATGCTGTTGATTATATTTTTTTACCTATTTCTTTATATAATGTTGGTTGTCTTAAGTAACATGCTGTCACTTTGAATTTATCTGTACCCAATTTTTTAGATAAAATCTGAATCTGTAACATAGAAAATAGTAGTACTGAGGTCATGGTTACACATTTGATCACCATGCATTCAGTAGCCAATATTTGTAACTCTAACCCCACTCTGTTACTTGCGGGGAGAGTTGGGAAGAATGAATGTCTAATGGAAATTGATCATGATGGTGAATATATTTTACATATGGCTGGTGGCTACCATATTGGACAACACAGGTGTAACAAACCCCAGAAGTGTGAGACCCACCAACTGAGATATAAATGAGAAAAAACTTGAAGTTTCTTGTAAAAGTTGTATTTATCTTTCTGGTTGTCTTAAATACAGTGGAAACTGCGACCTGACTTTTAGCAGGCCTCAGACCATTTCCTTACACAAGTTTAATGGCTAGATCTTCCTTCTCAAAATTAAAACATTGGATTTAGAGCAATTTACATATTAGACCTTTTGACTTTTTTTCATGTAGCTAAAAGATTGCTTGTGTCAAATCTGATTTATAATGCCCATATTTTTCTGTAATGCCTTTATTTTTTGGTAAAATAAAATACTTTTATTTTTAGAATGTTTAATTTGGAGAATAGGCACCAGATGGTTAAAGGCAGATTACTCTGATAAAACAGGTTATATGAGGATTGATACCTGAGATTCACCTGGCCTGGAATTGTCACTGGCTGTTTCAGTTAGAGCAGTAGTTCAAACAGACTGCTGGGCCCCACCCCCAATTTCTTATTCAGGTCTCCAGTATCCTGTTTCTAGCAATTTCCCAGGTGATACTTATGCTTCTGTTCCAGAGACCACACTTTCAGAACCATTGTGGTACAGATTAGGCTGAGATAAAATAAAATTCTTTAGAGAATTGTACTACATTTTAAAATACTGTGAAGAATTGAGGTAGAGTAGACCCTTACCTTGACTGTTATAAATGGAATGTACACCTGACCCAAATCCATAGCCTTTGAGTAAACCACCAAGGATGCTTTACATAAAGTTCAAAGTACAATTCAAACAGGGCCTGGCTCTAGACCTGGTTACTAGGTGTGTGTACAGGGGAAACGTCGGTAAACATCACATCCTTACTGAAACAGGTTTGGACATGTGTCTTTAAAACCTTTCTGATGAACAGAAGTGAATCTATTTGTGATTATGTAATTTTCTTATTTGAAATTATGACAGGCAGACTGACAACAAAGTTAAAATAAAAAACTATCCAAGTTGCCCTCAAAAGCAGGATTCTTATTGATTAGTTATATCTTCTGCCCACTTTCTTCAACAAACCTGGTGTCCTATAATGAGCTACCAAGTGTGAGGCACATTTCATACCAACATTGATTGGTTGTCAAGGATATTCCACTGCCACTCTGTACAAGCTCATGTTTCCCCTCTCCCTTTCTGCTAAAAGGAGGGGAACTCGTGGATCAAGGGCAAAATGCTAGGGAAATAGAGGCGATAAATCCAGTCTGATAACAGAGATCTGAAATGAACAATATGTTATCTTTCTATTCCATCCAACATCAGTAAAAGTACTTGAGTTCAAATGAAAACTGTGAAATTTTACACTTGAAGGAATACCAGCATCCAAGAACAGTCAGAATATCCCTCCTTGCAAAAATCCAAGGGAAAGGCCAAGGGGCATTGGCATCTACCAGCCAGGTCCAAATGTCTTCTATCCCTGGCTTCATCAGAGTCACATGATTTCCCCAATATGAGAAACTTTGCTATTCTGAACAAAATTGTTCTTTATAGTAACCCTAATCAGAGGTAAGTATAGTTCCTTCACAGAGTTCCAAACTTTTGGACTTCTAGAAACTTTGTTATTTATCTTCCAGTGCTTGTGCCATTGATTCTTGCATGAAATTCTGGAATGCTGGCTCTTCATGACTTTGCTCTGTAACTCTGTGGTCAATATCATCAGTGTCACTGTCTGTGTTCTTATCCTTTTCATCCAAGGTTCCCCGAATCAGGATCAAGTCAGAAGGGTCCCACATAGAAGGTAAGTTGTCTGTAGCAGTTCCTATGTCCAAGGCTACAGAATCCATATCTTTCCGAAGATGTTCCAGTTGTTCTTTTTGCTGCTGGCTCTGTGCACTGGCCAGTGATTTCTTCAGACGTTCATATTCAAGACAATGCTCCCTTTCATATTCTTCCACAGCACTGATGACTTGCACAAAGAGTCCATCTAAGCCTGTACCCAGAACAGCAGGCACACCTACTGCCCTGAGTGAACTGTCAAACTCATCTAATACCAAGCTCATTGAATGAGTCAGGTTACTGACATGTGTAGTCTCTTCATTCAAGGTATATGGAAAGCCTCAAAATCTTACATCCATTCCACTGCAAAGCTCTGATCAATGATGCCAGTTTTAGCCATGACCACAATTAAAGTAAGCTTGATTTTGTACAAGATGCTGCAGGGATAGAACATATTGGACATGAAAGTCACTGGGTTGGTACTTCTTGATGTGTCCCTTATATAAATGACAATTGTTGGAAATTAGGATGTCAGGGCCTCAGTGATGAGTGTCCCAGAAGCTCACCAGCTGAATACTTCAATCTGCCCAGGTGTGTCAATCAAGACATATTTAGACATGTTCT